ACTTGCCAATAATCATAAAAAAATATTAACGTTAAACAAAATCCATTATTAAAAAAAAAATATTTTTCAAACAAACTAATTAAGTAAAAAAGAAACAAAATTTGTAACACCTATACAACTCGCGCCACAGCGTCGCATTACAAGCCTCTCTTCTAACAGTATGTTTTGTCTCTTTTAAATTCATTCAACCCATTCATATGCTTTGTGACCTTTACAAATGAACTTTACGTTACGCTTTTATAGGTAAGGGTGTTCTAAAATTCTTTGTTTTGGAAAATTTAATAACTCTGTAAATATTGATGTTTAAAGAATTTAAATGTTTAATACATCTTTAAAAAGTTATCCCCTATATGTGTGTTCATTTATTGTCGCGATGGTAACGACACGCTGTATATTTTATAGTGGGGATCTAACCTACCGTGTCCAATCGCATCGTCAAAATCAAACGAACGAAGAGCTTGAAACAGAGCGACACGTTAGCGTTAAAAAGAACCAATTCTTGACGCGACCCGTTGAGAAAGTGTCTTCCGTCTTTCGCATCGAGATGCCACTCATTAAAATGGTAATGGCGTGGGGCCTGCTCTTAAATGGTAAAAACCAACTCAATTTTCCGGTAATCGTGGCCCGCGAGACAGGCCGGCGCACCTGCCTGCAATTACACGCAAGTGGAAGACCGCATTGCCAGTGGTCAGATGCTGTACAAGTGGAACTAGGCACTAACGGAGTGAAACTAGACGGCTCGTATCTCTGTACATCGGGAGAAATGTAACAGACGCAAACGATTATTTCAAACGGGTTCAACACACATTATTGTGAAGCGTAGAATCCGATAAAAAATAAGTCGTAGCGTCTTGTCCTTTTTTATACCAGTTTAAGTATCAGACAAAAGTGTTTTAATAATGTTTAAAACATTTATGTACATACTACGGAGATCATAATCTAAAATATAACCTATGTTTCTAATATTTATTTAACGTATATGTGAATTTTGGTTGCATCGTTCAGTTATAATCCTACTATGGTAGAAATTGGTCTTCATATCTGGAATGAATGTTACGAACATTAAGAGAGCGGTTAGCGGCTCTTTTATGTTTCAAGATGAAAATTTATAATCTAGTTATCTATATACTATAAAATCAAATGTAATTTTTTTGATCGTTGATATTATACTTATATTTAGGTTAACAACGTTTAATGTATAGAACCATAACAGTTCGAAAAAACGCGACACTAAATGGTTTAACCCTTTCCCAATTCTAATGCCGCTCTGTCAAAAACGCCAACACAAAGTCCGAACAAATACTATCAACCTTAAAGAAATAACGACAGAACGCGGTCATACGCTATCGTGCATAGCATTATCCAGGGCGGCTCTAGCCGGGGTGGGGGTGGGGAGGGGAGGTGAGGGGGCGAGTTCCCCTGCGCGGCCGCATGTGCAATTCGCGTCGTAGGCGCAGCAGGCCCGCCGCGGGAGTCAACGCACTGGGACCGGTTCACTAATCGATCCCGCACCGGCTCGCAACTCCTGTCCCCGCCTAAACCCCGCGACTATAACGGCCCGCCGCCGACCAGACGCCGACTAGCTTTGCTGCACGCGAGCTTTTGTGCCCAAGCTGCAAACTATTTTCTATACGTGTCCTCTCGTGACAAAGTAAGTAACACAGCCTATACAAGTACGACTCCTGGTTTTTTCTTGTTATTATTAAATAGAAAATGTACAGGTTTCCTCACCATGTTTTCCTTCACCGCTGAGTGCATGACAAGTCGCTATAGGATAATTCAAGCACTTAAAATTGATAATTCCATTGGTGCTGTCACCAAGATTTGAACTTGGGCTGCTAGAGTATAGTTAAAAGCAAGCGCCCGAACACAACTATCACGGCTCTATTCATCTTGTGACAAAGGAGAATTATTTAAACATTTGCAACGTATAGGGAATCAGACAGGGTTGACTCTTTTGAAGGGTAGCAACTCGTCAACCCATAGATTTCGTTCATGTCCGAAAAGTGACATATTATAAAAGAAAACCCGTTCGCTTTTCGATTGATACTGTGACGTTTGAAATTGACTCGGTGCATTCATTATGTAAAAAGTAAACGTAACTACCACCGGGTAACACCGGCGCTCTGATTTACGAGGATTGTGTAAGATCAAAGACAGTGTTGACATCAAACACTAAATCGTTACGTCACCAGAATGAGATCAGTCAGCGTAGTAATTGTCCTAAAGACAAACAAAAACTACGTCACACGTTTTGCAATATCGTGACATTTGTGTAAAGAACAAAGATGGTAAGTATATGGCAATATTTTGAAGTGAATGCCTTTTTAAATACCGTTACCAAGAACAAGTCGAAGAGGGTCGAATACCGCAACACCGAAAAATTTTTCGACAATTTATCCATCTCAAACTCGTTACATTTTGTCACTAGTAACTGTTTGATTCGACGACCTATACCATTGTAGGAATACACCTAGATGAAATTTACTTTCTAAAGCAACATATTTGATTGGAACTGCTATGACCAACGATAGTGCCGTATGTGCTTTTATAAAATGTAGAAATACTCTCTGTATCAGTATAACTGATACTGAACTTATAAGCAATTTTTCAGCAAACCGATCAGGTGTCAAATGTCATGTCAATCAACAACTTCCGCGGACTTGACAATCAGGCTATTGTTCATGCCAGTGCAGTATAGTCTTCAATAAATGGCCATTGTCCTAAGCAATGTTCATACAATGTTCTTAGAGGTCACGTGCAGTTATAAGCATAGTGCAAGCTAGTTGCACTTAAAATGAAATGTGCATTTCGATAATATTTCAAAACACGTAGAGTTTGAAGACTGGATGAACAATTTATTATAGTACTGCTTTTTAAAAACAATATAAAAAAAAAAATAGGGAATATAATATAATGACCAATTGCGCACTATCAATTACCATTAATTTTAAAAAATCTATAATTTATCATTCGTCTTTGACGTGATACAGTGTGTATGTCGTGTGGCGGTTATCGAAACGGATGATTTAAACGTTGCCCAAGTAGGGTCGGGAGAAGACTGATTTATTGGAACCAGCAAATCATAAATACATAACAAACGACGGCTTTTATAAGTCAATCGTGTATAAGTAGAGACAAATATGTCTGTAACCAATAGCTGTTTGAATTTTTTTATAGAATTTACAATAAATATATTCGGACATTCTAACAACAAATCGGAACGAATAGGCATTGTTTCGTCACACATTCACTGTCTGAAATTAAGAGCACGCCCCGAATCGTAGAGATTTATTATGAGCGTTGAAGATTTAACAAATGAAAGCCGCATTACAGGCGACATCGTTTTATGATAATTTTCTTTCTATGCCAACCGCCGTCCGGTACTATGGAAAAAAAACGAGGCTTTAGTCGTCCACACATCATTATATTAGAGATGTTGGCGGTCGTTGTTTCTGTCCCGTGCTCTCATTCCCCTGATAGTGCCGATGGTAGCGGTCCAAATAAAATTGGCCTAATGCAGACGTTGAGTTATGGAGGCAATTAGGCAACAAAACAGCCCACTAAATTCACGTGTAAGTGACTGTATTATAGATAGACGAAGTCGTTTCGTTTTCCGTTCCTTGAGTACATCAATAACTGTATTTGGACAATAGGTACGGTCTGAACCTCAAGAAGGTACGATACGTTAATTTTATAAGCTCGTATTAATCATTGCAAGGATCCGAGTACTTAATGAATTTGAAGATGTATGCTCCATAACTCAAGCTGTGCTCCGCGTGGTTCAGAAGACCGTGATGATGTCTGCGACCAAGGTAAGCGTTATGGGCCTTTGTCGGAACAAGAGGAAGTAAAAAACAACGACCTCGCTGTTATTTAAACGGTGGAAGCAACTAATTTTCGTTAATGATCATCACCTCGCATCAAAATATTGTAATGGCGGAATGCTTAATTTACTTGTATACGTTATGTTATGTGATTTTGGATAAAATTATACAATTTCCGGACAAAGTCACAGCCACGTCATTTTTATATTTTTGGCCGAAGAAATTCCCACGATAAAGAATCACCCCAAAACCCAGTGATGATCTTAATTAACGAACGCCGCAGTTACATTACATTTCGATGATTTACCCGTACCAACGGTTCCAACTACGGTCGAGTACGTACGAAGTTAATTTACCGTACGTTGCGTGTCTCGCAGTCATGTCATCATTGGAAACGAGAAATATAATTAGCGTTCGAATACTTTTATTAACGTTACACCACGACAACGAGCTCCACTATCGCGTCACGTTCTGCACTATTTATTAATTTCACGATACCGCTTCGCATATATCACGGCGCTCGTAAAACTAATAAGTCTCGCGGCCAAAGGAGAAAAACATCGTATCGTTCTCGTCTCTTAATGGATCTTTGGATGTATCGTGTTGTTAATTGTATAGATGGACCATGACGTAAACGTTACAGTCGCACGCTTTATCCCGTTATCGGATCGTCAGGATAATGAATAGAGATGTGCCAAAACAAGAATTACAATACAATACAAGAATTTTCCAAACACTTAAAAGCTTTCTATGGTCTATGGTTTCCATGACACAGGCGGTTAGAGAACCTAATAACAGTTTTGAGATATTAGATATGGTCAAGTCTTTATTTACTATTAATAATTTTGCATCAAGCATGTATAACCCCCACCTGCCCTAGGTTAACCTTATGCTGGTAGATTTTAACGCGGAAAGTAGATACCGTTTCATTAAATACATTTATAGACAAACTATGCTAAAATAATCCTAGTCGAGTTATCTTTACGGCAATAAATCACGGCGACTATGCCTAAAACACGATTAGCGATGTAACCGAAAATAATCGACGTATTTTATTGTTCCTTGATTTGGTAAACTATTCGATTGTTGTTATAAAACAAAATCGCCACAAAGGGTGGGTGGCGTTCCGTATTCTTAGAACGATCTAGTATTGAACCGGTCCGTGTATCCATTATGCTGCATAGTTCGGATGGATTCGTTTGGAGGGGCCGCATTCCGACGCCCGCAGTTTCCCTGAATAGCCGCCCCGCCCGCATTTCCCACGGGTTCGTTGGCAATGAACGCGCGGGCATTTCAACGCGATGCCGCATCGCAAAAGAGTTTTTACGAAAACTCATTAGCCAACAAGTGCTCGAAACTATTGGCCCGAACCGGTTGCGGATAGCGCGATCGCGGCGCGCAAAAAGCTCACTCGGCGTGGGTCGCAAGTTGCACCTACTGCACTCCTAGTTTTACTGTGTCAAGAACAACGCCTCTCCGCCTCGTCCCCCGCCGCCCCTCACGCCACCACTCCCTCACCTGTACGCAAAAACCTCGATAATACCTCAAAATTGCGCAGCAGTCAACGCCACCACCGACAGTGTGCTTTCTGTGGCATAATATGTGTATTCTAGGTATTCATCGCTTTCAGGACTTACTGCTATACTGTTAGGCCACCGTATCTAGATAGGAACGTCGAATAATTTCTTTTGTCTGGCACGCAACAGTTTCTACAGAAATAGGCGTAGCGTAAAATGGAACAAATACGAAAATAGAATAGTGAATAATTGCGAAGTCGAGTTTCTTCTATTAGGGGAGAGGACGTGCGATGTATTGTAGTACGTGGTGCCTGCGCCAAGCCTGATCTAATATAGTTTCGAATCACTTCAATAGTGCTCGATATGATAATTTTCCCCTAACGAATAAGAAAACTATCGTAGAAAACAAAAAAATAATGGCAACACATCCGGACGGATAATAAGTGAAGTCAAGGAGCGCTAAGAAACAAATTTGATAGGATGACGCGTCCGCTCGTCAAGCGAAACCAAAATTGCACGGTACGTGCCACGTCCAGATAACATAAAGATAACCGTTTTAGTGGCCGACCTTCCCCGGGTCCTTGGCGGGTGTTGCGAAAGAAAAAAAAATGATATCGACACGTAGCACGGACAATTGTATCGGGCGCCGTGAAATACGTGATCACATGTTAATTTAACGTTCGCAGCGCTGGTTGTTAATTCATGTGAAACGTGGCAAAAGAGCCGGTTTACCTGATGTTAAGTGATAAAACCACAGTTGTGCATCACTTCCACTTCACTATTACTATTTACCCGGACGGATCTGCCCATTCGTGCCACAGCGAAGACTGTCGCTTGAGCCTACGACAGTTATCGAAACTGTTGCGCACCCTCGGTTCACTCGGATGTGATGTTAAGCGAGATTATTCACAAGAGGTTACCGTCATAATCGGCCGCCGCGCTGCAATTACCGTCCGACGACGGTTGTTTGTGGGGAAGATCAGTTTGCAATTATTGCACCGTGGATTTATCTTAATGGGCGTCTCCGTTAAATTACTTAAGTTCATTACTTTTAATTTCGCCATTCACATGTCACGGTGTGCACCATAAATTTAATGGCAGGTTTTCCTTGCAAGTTGCGATCGCATGGTCACTAGGTACTCGGCAGGTGGGTGCCGAGTAGTGGGTTGGATCCTGGATAGGACATGGTTTGCCTGAATCTGTAAAGGGCCCCCTCAAAGTTTTATAGTGTTTCTATAATCCAAAATAACTTATCGCGTCATTCTTTATACCACTGAAGTAGGATCGGCACAAAATGTGAATATTGTTGTTAGTGATATTGACTAGGTTTTTTGCACCGGCCTTCTGCCTACGTCAACCATCGTTGGTAACAAATACCCAAGTCCGGAATAATTATTTGTAGGTAACTAAAATGCTTGTCTGGGTTTTAGATTCGAAACCACAACCCCTTGTGCCGAAGTTAATTGCTTATCAACATGAGATTGAGATGAATATGATATGAGAATACATAATGGTAATGATACAACGGACTTCTAATACTATACTCGATTTCCATACAAAATAATATTATATTACATTGACATTACATTAATAATCGAATCCATCAATCCTATAGCATCATAAGACATTACCGAAAATACTAGCACAAAAGACCACACAAGAGACTATTACCAAAGAGTTTAAACTATTGCACTACCAATCATGGGTGTGCATCAATTTGGGCATAAACGAACAAAGCTAATAGCGGCGCATTTATCAAGAGTCTGCCATCGAGATACGCCGACGGAACGCAATGAGCATAAATTGGGAGATGACGAGAGAGAGACAACAAAAAAAAAACCCCGATCGTGAAAAATCGAGACGATGCATCGTTTCCGCCGCCGCCCCGTTCGGCTAAGGCAATCTTAATGGGCCCTCCGTATCGATGCTACTTTCCGCTGCCCACTTTTTGCCTCCTATAGACCGCTAAGGCGCGACGCATGACGGGCAGGCGGCGTTGACACCTCGCGCATAACGTTAACGCCGATAAGTAATCCGATTGTTGCGCGGTGTTTATTTTGCTTAAAATATTGACACCCGTCCCGCTGGAAGGTCGGCGGGCAATAACTGATCCGAGACTGAACCGAGATAAGGTCTGGCCTTGGCCGGAAGTCGTTCCGCGAAAGCTTTAACGCGCGAGAACGTTTTATAGCTATTATTGTGGTTTTTTTTTCTTTGTACGAACCCTATCGAGAACGATTATAATTTAATCGTATTATACCGTAATCTACAGCCGTCGAGATAGATAGCTCATTGTCCGGGTGCCCGTTATTAATTCCATATACTCGAAGCAACCTGAGTTCGATCTTCGTAGCCGCCACCAATGAAATTGATAATTTTAAGTAAGTTGAATTATCACGTGTTCAGCGGTGAAGGAAAACATCGTGAGGAAACCTGCATATTTTCGAAATAATAAAAATGTTTCGAAGATAATTATGTGAAGTCACCTAATCCGCAGTGGGGCCGCGTGGTGGACTATGCCCTGATACCCTCTGTACAGATGAAGCCTTTGACCAGTAGTGGGACATTTATATGCTATTATTTTATACCGTATTCTGTACAGTGTAAGCGCAGCAGTAAGGTAATATCTTTTATTGAAATTTATTCTTTGAAAATTACAAGCAGGAATTTCAAGTGAAAAAGTGGACAATGATGGCCGACTTTTGTATGTAAAATACATTCATTTGGAAAGGAAAAATCAGTCGAATGGAAATTCCAAGAACATTCGGTAAGCCACCAAGAAAAAAATATTCGCAATTCCGAAAGCCATTTGTAACTTCGACAGCCCAAATGAAGACATTTAAGTAGGTGAACTTTTTTGTGAACCATTCATCATTATCTGATATTAATTAACTTTAATTTATTGGCACGAGAAATAAAAAAAAACGAGAAGCTCGAACAACTACTTCGGTACGCATAAATTTCACGTTGACCTATTTTTTGGCATAATTATTGAAATTAACTGAGGTCTGCCAATTAAAAACAAGATCTGATTGAATAAAGCTTGCGTTACAAACAAACGCGCCACATTCACATTTTAATGATAGCCTTTAGCACGGATTATCTGAAAAGGATCGTAAAGAATCAACGATTTATCATCAAATAAGGCCACACGCGAACTGCACAACTTGGGAATCGAAGTTGAAAGTCGATGGAATATGCGACTTAATTAATATGTAATATATATTTGGCCCTTTTTCAATCATCACATTATGATGGACACCTTCAATGATGTCGAAGCGAGTCCAGTGTTGTGTGCTTTCTGCACACGGCTATCTATATCTGTTGCGATATGATTATATGATATAGTCCGTAAGAGATTGCGTAAATAACAGTATCGGTCCGTTCCCACAAAACGGCCTCACGACGTTAATCATCAGCGACTGCTACGGGGCTGGACACTGCGCCAATGCATACATACGAGACGAACCCAGTCAATCATACGATAATTGATTGGCACCTCTCCGTACAAAAAGCCGGCAGAAGTCTTGCGCATTCGTCTCGCGTTTATATGGCGATCCGCTGAAATTACTTATTTACCGGCGCCGATGCGAGTTCGCATGTTTTATAATGGCTTCGTGCGTCAGCTGCCCGAGTACCATGTATTGGAGAACGCAGTTTTTTTTTTTAATCTGCCACCGAATGCACCACCATAGGCCGATACCGAAAACTTTTCTCAAGCGAACCCATAAATATATAGTGCTAAAAACCGAAGTTTCGTCCCGTGGAGGACCTACGGTTACAAATTTCAAGTTTTATTGTTTTTGAAGATAAACAAAGCTAGTGGATTTATATTATCGAGGTATAATTTTCGAAATTTCAATATTTGCACACGTGTGAAGCGCACGAATAGAAACAAGTGGGTATCCGTGTTAAACCAATGTTTTGGTATGCGTTTAAAAAACGGTGTCAAGGGTAATTATTATATATCTGTCGTCGTCTAAAGGCATGTTCTGTTTCTGTACAAGTTTTTTGCAATTGGCCGGCACCGTATTCGTAGAGTTGTTGATTTTATTTTATTTCATTCGCATTCATCTTAAATATTTAGATAATAAGGGAGGTTCAACAATATAATAAACTTCAATGTAATATACGTATCGGTAATACTCTTATTTTAATCGGTAATGATCGTATTTTTATTACTCATACTAGAATGAACAAATTCATAAAAAACCGCATCTTGTTCCTCTTGATGGGACATGGTAGATCCGATAAAAAGGTTGGGAGCTAGATAAGAAAAGATAAAATGTATTCAAATGTAAACATGGGACATAGACAACAAATGTAGACGGACATTTTGAAAGGTGTACATAGATTTTAATTAAGTGTATGAAATTTTACCTTCTAATTTAGAATTTACATTGTCATAGGAGAAAAGTTAGACCACTAAAACAAAAAACTCTGGCAGCTTTCTAACTTTGGAGTAGACTACTAATGGCCATTGGAGTTTGCTGAGATGCAGCCAATTTCAGCGAAGCCCAAATAAACCATCACATCCCTGCATCTTATGGTAACATATTAATTGCTGGAGTAAAATCTAGGGCGGAAGTATTATATTTTATCCTTTATATCCACAAGTTTCCGTCTTATATTTGTATTATTGTGCGCAACTTTATTGACCAAGCTTAAATTAATGCGTTTCAGCGAATGACGAATCAGACAAACCAAATTAGAAGGAACATATAAAGTAATATACAGGTGGCGTATTATTATTTTTAAAAACACAATCTTAGCAATCTAAGAGCGATTATACCAAATAAGAATAAAACATGTGTAAGCATGTTGTAATCATAAAACGCGAGGCAAGTAGTTTTATTTTTATCAATTATTCTTAGACGCCCGCGCAAGAACAACCCACGTGCTCGTTGGTTCAGGACATGAATATGGGAG